TATTGGTAGATAAAACGAATTAATTAGCAAAAAGCAAAGTTGAAAACCTCAACGTCTACACCTTTGTGCACTCAACCTCGTAGAAAACGGCAGTCAAACTCGTAACTTAAAAATTGGCAAATAGGAAAATTACGGTAGGAGCCCCTAATCAGTATTCAATGTTGAAAAAACTGCAATCAACCTCGTACAAGATTTTATTTTGAACTTCAAGTGTTCGTGGCGGATTTGTATGGTATGGCGGATTTCACCGTCGTTGTCTGTACTGCGTACAGACACTGTACAAAGCACCGTTTTAAAGTTTTCAGGATCATCACTCCAAAATAAAAAAAGAGTAACCTACAAACACGCCCTTCATCGTATAGATCGATAAATAGCCACTCATAACGTTCCCCGCGATGGGCGTGTCGACTCCAATCGTGTCTACTCTTTCTGCAAACAGCTTCAGCACTAAAGTGTTAACGGTGCAATCACCCAAGGGCGACTTGCCAACGAGCTCCAGCGCTTCCACCTATATGTAAGAAGATGTTATCAACGCTAGTAAATCCATTGTATCAATAAATGTACGTTAACTGTACCTGCACGGACAGAAGTGGGATGGCCTTCAGCTTAGCAAGTATATCTGGGTCTGGATCAACTTGGAAATGATCGGGCATCTGTAGAGTGAAATCAATAGTCTCGATCCAGTTTATAGCTTTGTCCACGTGTTGTATGCTTTTCATCGCCCTGTGCCACTTTTTCATTACACCCAACGTCTCGGTAGTGTATGTTCCAACACCGATTACTTCCACCGCAATTTCTTGTTCGCCTAGATTTACACCCTATGAATCTTTATGTTTCTTCTGCAGGGCTGAGACTTTGGCGCTGCACTTCTCAATGAAGTCTTTGCGAAATACACGGGTTATGGATTCCACAGGATAAATTTTCTTCGCCGGTGGTAAGCTCGCTCTCTCGTGGGCTACAGGAGCCCTGGGAGTTTTACTGAACTCATACAGCTTGAATCGCGATAGGGTAGCGGCAGATGTATCGTATGTAGGCACGCCTTCAACAGCATCTCGCACTGTAGCCAGGCTCAAATTCGCCGCGTACAAGTCTGAGTCCTCCTGGACGATCGTGGTATTCTTTCTACGAGCAGCTTTCTTCGACTTTGCTGTTTGCTTTGGGCGCCCGCGGGATCTAGGAGGGCTCGCTACGTGAAATTCTTCATTCCCTACTTCTTGGAGAGTTGATGTCAGCTCTCGGGTTTTCGATTCAAGATGTTTGCCAAACTGAGTGCCAGACTCGCCAGACTGAGTGCCAGACTCGCCAGACTGGATGTCAGACTCCTCGACTTGGCTGTTCTCAATGGCTGAACTCGCTTTAGCTGGCTGGGTAGAAGGAGAAGAGTCTGATAGCTGAACGTTTTAGTTTTGACTGGATAAGGTGCCGAAGTCACAATTCTTGAACCGACGAGCAACATCCTTCAGATACTCCATCGCTTCTCGGTATTGTGCCATTCCCAATCCAGACATCGAACCACAAATTTCACTAGCGATAGGCAGCGCTTCACGATACTTGCGGTTTGAGTCCCAAGGTCGATCATCCGTCGCCACAACCCGACGAATAGCGAAAGATTCCATAGACGTACAGTTGTCACTTGAGCTCTCGAACTCTATCGAGGATCTAACAGAAGACAATATCCACCGACGATTGAGAAGTTGTGTCGGGATAACAGTTTCTTTGCCGAGTGCTCTTCTCAGAAAGAAAACATGACGACACGGCAGCAAACGCGTGCTCATAAAGAGGCACGAACAAGTCCAGTTCCGAAAAATTGTATGATGCACGGCCAAGTGCGTATACGTATTGGTCTTGTATCAGCTCGCACGCGTGTTCGCTGACAAGGTTAGCCACGAGAGTCATTTCTTGGTCGTATCCAACATGCTGAATGTTAACCTTCTTGTAGACTTCATCCATGAAACGTCGTTCTTGAAGCGTTTGATAGTACATGATAGACGCAATGCATTCGTCCACAGCCATGAACGAATTTACCCACTCTTTCAACTGCTTCCAGGATGCCCCCAATCTATTATTGGTGTTATTGCCGAGAGTGACGGTGTTTTGCCGCTTGTGTGCACACCATAACTTACGACAATTATCCCAGTTTCTGATGAAATAGGCAGCAAACGGGTGGGTGGTGGGTTCATTTGTCGCAGCAGCCACATCCGCGGGTTCAACGGAGTTTGGAGCCAGATTATGCCCGACTGGAGCCGGATTCACCCCGACCGAAGAGGGGGTCGATCTGTCCTGCCCGATTGAATCTGAAGACTCCGACCTTGAATGACCAACCTCGCACACATGCAGCATGTACCGGAAATGCCCCATGTATTCCTTCTCCGTCTTCGCGTATACCAGGAGGTCCATGAGCCCTCGCAGCTGATTTCTCTCCCACGTGTTGCAGCCGTAATCCGATGATGAACTTTCCTTCCTCAAGTACTTTAATACGTGAAACTGGCAGAGTAGAATAGTCACGCCGGGGAATGCTGTCTTCAAAACAGAAAGCTCTTGTCGATGAGCACGCACTGTAGACGCGTTTAAGCCGGGTTATTCGTCTTAAATTCTTCCAGTGCAGTCAACAATGTTCTCCACTGCTCGTTGTGGAGTAGGGCATGCTGCACAAACTGGCCTTTTCCAAAAGTGTCGTGTGCCATGAAAGAGAAGACCTTGTACTTGGATCGATTGGTTCCATGCGTTGCGTTAATTAGAAGTACCTCCGGAAATTGAGTGAAGATCGATCGCATGTGTTTGGTTTGAAGCGTAATACAGGTTGGCCAATTTCTAACATAATGAACCGGTTAATTAGGCCAATAACGAAATTAAATTTTGAGACATAAACGTCGTAAATCCAACCTTTTCCTCCCAACTGCGACCGAACAAAGAATGCGCCCCACGTTTGCCCGAAAAATCACAAATTTCGGAATCCATTTTCTTAACCGGTTTGAATTTCCAGGTTGTGGCTAATCCCTTTGCCCCCGAGCCTTCAAATTTGCAAAACCAA